GAGAGAGAGAGAGAGAGAGAGAGAGAGAGAGGGAGCAAAGGGGTGTTTATTTTGAATGTTTGTTTGATACACTCCCTACCTCCCTCGCAGGTCAAATGGCGTGCAGCGGATTTCCTTGATCGATTAGTCGATGGGCTGGGGAAGCGAGACGTTGGCGTTCAAGGCTACGAGGCTGAAATCTGTATTCCCCCCCCCGGCCCTCCTCTTCCCCCTCTCTGATTTTGCCGATACTGTCGAGGCGCTCTGTTTTTTTTTTTGTTTTTTGGGCTTGCTCCTGTTGGGTTTTGCCAAAACCCCTGGTTAAATGAATCGAAAAACGATGGGGATGGTTTTCTTTCCCAGGTCCAACCTTTGGATGACGAAGTGGACGCAGGATCGAGTCCTCGTTTCGCAGCGGAGCAAAGATCGCCGTTGGATCGAGCTGGAGGAAAATCTACATTTGCTATGGCTTGCGGATCAAAGGAGGAGCCTTCGCTTTCGCGAGTCGAATCGAGCAGGAGCGCTGGGATTGGAGTAGAAAATGGAGGAGGTGCCATCAGAGAGACATGTGGTAGATTTCCTGCTGAAGTTGATGGTGGCAACCGAATTGCCAATGATGCGCCATCAAAGCGACACATGGGAGCGGGAAGATGGGTAGGACGTGGAAAAGGAGTGCACGCGGAATGCCTTCAGTCCTATCGTGACGTTGCTGGCGATTGCGATGGCGATGGCGGGCGCTTGACGATAGACAAGCTGTCCGCGGAGAAGGAACAGCATAATGGTGATGACGATGCCGCTCATGGGAACGATGTTGCCCCTCGTATGGCCAACACACTAAGTAGAAGAAATGGGGGAGGGACAGAGAGATCTTCGTTGCCAGATTTGACACGTGGCACTCTGCCATGCTTTGAGAGTGACGTGGCGATGGCGACGGGAGATCGATTTGTGCCTACTACGTGTGCGTCTCTGGGAAATTGCCGAGAAGAGGACAAACTGTCATATCCAGGATGCAATCGTAATCATCATCATCATCCTCATCATCATCATCATCAACAGCATCGTGATCATCAGCCCAAGGAGGGAACTGGCGATGGCGGGAGCGATGGAGAAGAGGCAGTGGCATTGGTTGCTGTTCATGGGGAAAGACGAGTGAAGGTGTATCTTCTGACAGCAGACGGAGGACAAGGAGCAAGAGGAGGAAGAGGAGGAGGTGGTGAGGGAGAAGAGATAGGAGGAGGAGGAACAGACGGAGGAGGAACAGACGGAGGAGGTGCCACTGCAGGCGGGATATCGCAGCCGCAAAACCCTCTATGCACGTGCTTTCGTCTTTTGCGAGCGTTACCACGGTTAAGTCAATGGGTTCTCGATGTACGATTCTTGCAACGTTCTGGCGATGACCTCCAAGGGGATAATTTCCCCGAAAAGGTTGGATCTGTGTCCATGCATATTGTCCTTTTCTGGTTTCCTCCCTGCTTTCCTTCCCTTCCCTTCCCTTCCCTTCCCTTCCCTTTTTCTCCCTGCCCCTTCCCTTCCCTTACCCCATAATCATCATCAGGACGGCAAGGAAGAATGCGTGCCAAGGGAAGGGAAGGGAAGGGAAGCAGGGAGAATGGGTGGGTCCCTTTCGTCGATTCGATGATTATACGGGCAACGAAGACGGGCGGAAAGGGAAGGGAAGGGACGCAGGGAAGGGAATGCATTGTTCATCCATGATCCGGTCTCAAGGATCGAACACACAGGGAAGGGAATGCATTTTTCATCCATGATCCGGTGTTACATGCCCAGTTGGGCGATGTACACATATAACCGAGGATCCGCAGTGTGACAAAAAGGACTGAGTGGACAATGCAGTGCTAGTGCAATCTTAGCAAGCAGTGTACAACCTGATACATACAAAATGGTGCTTTATAGCGCAGTGGAAGACTTAGATACAAGCCCTGACCTGACCGGGACTGACCGGGACTGGCGCATTCTTCCTGTGTGTGACGGGAGCCTGGCGCTACACACAGGAAGAATGCGCCAGGTCTAAATCATGCACAGACGAAGAGGAGGGTAACAGACGAAGAAGACGGGGGGGGAGATGGGAAAGTCGTCAACACCAAGTCTTCGTTACAAGTCCTAAATAATCCCTCGTCAAAATGTCTGAAGCCTAACGTCGAGTCTGGATCCAAATGTCACCAAGCTCTCTCTCTCTCTCTCTCTCTCTCTCTCTCTCTCTCTCTCTCTCTCTCTCATAGTCTGCTGATGCACTGAAGTCAGATAGCGAGAGGGTGAGAGGGATATGGTGGACTGAGAAGAGGAAGAAGAAGAACTCTCTCTCTCTCACGTGCCAGGTACTAACCTGTGAAGTTGGCGCTGTGCTGCAGGTACCTCGAAGACAAAGCTGGATCTATGGTGCTGCAAGTAAGTCTCCCTGGCCTCCGCCCAATCTCTCTCTCTCTCCGGTACTACTCTAGCTCCTACTAGCGCCCAGCGCTGAAGACTACAGCTAACGCTACTAGCGCCCAGCGCTGAAGACTACTGCTAGCGCTACTACTACTCCTACAGCGCTTCTCCAGGGTGCTGCTGCCGAATCCTGAAGACTACCTCCTGCCTCCAGAACTGCATGTGAAGTGCCTGGGAAGTACCTAGGAACTACCTGCCGCCGAATCCTTCAATGACCGGCTATAGACTAGAATGTCGTCTAAGTATACCAACACGAACCGGTCCAACATCGCACGGAACTCGTTGGTCATTGTTCCTTGAAAGGTCACTGGGGCGTTGGTGAGGCCAAAAGGCATGACCACCCACTCAAAATGCCCGTACCGCGTCTTGAATGCGGATTTGTAGCGATTGTTCGGTCGGATCGAAATCCGATGGTATCCCGACTTCAAATCCAACTTAGAGAAATACTTTGCGCCGCCCAATCGGTCAACAAGATCGTCGATGCGAGGAAGAGGGTCCTCATTCTTGACGGTTTGCGGGTTGAGCTTTTGGTAGTCGATGCACAATAGTAGATCCTTGTTCTTCTTCCGTACGAAGAGAACTGGTGCTCCATATGGAGAGCTACTAGGGTGGATCCAGCCCTTGTCCAACAAGTTATCGAGTTGCGCGCGGACGATCGTAAGCTCCCCTTGCTCACGCGGTAAATGCAACCTTTCGGCGACACGGCACTGACCTCAAGAATGATCTCGTGAGAGATCGGCCGATCCGGCACCACACCGGTAGGTGACTCGAAGATGTCGGCGAACTCGTCAAGCAATCGCACCACACGGGGGTCCGAAGACAAGTCCGTGGGTGAAGAGTCGGCTACCGCGACGGTCCATAGTAAACATAGGCCGATTTCGTCGGGCTGCTCGTAAGCACAAGTAGCCCGGAATGACTTGGCCATCACCACTTGGGACCGGATCGAAGGTGCGGAAGAGGAATACTACATGACACTTCGGCACCGAAAGCGTCGCGAACGGTAAGAGTCTGGCGGTGGAATTTGACCGTGTGATCCGCACTTGCAAGCCAAGGCATTCCCAAAATAATGTCGAAGTCCGTGTTCAAAATGTCGAACGTCACCGGTTCGCATGCATGAGGTGCGAAATACACCGGTACGGCCTCGAAGTAGCGATCGATAAGTTGCTGTGTCTTTCCGTCCGCCAACTTGATCGCCGTCGGGTTTGCCTTCCTCCGAACTTGTGTGCCAAAGCCAACCCTTTGCATAAAGGCTTGACTCATAAAATTGCGAGACGCGCGAGTATCCAACAAAGCGCTGCAGGACGCTTGCCCAACTTGGATGTGGACATAGAGGAGCGGTGCGTTGTTGTCATCATACCGCCGCTTGCGAAACTCGCGGACTACCTTGGTAACATACGCAAAGATGTCCCCCACCGCGACTTCGTCATCCGTCGACGAAGTTGGTGGTGCGTAGAAGGATAAGTACGTGTGAAGATGAGCGCATAATGCTGCGCATTGCGGTCCCGACAAGCGGCCCGTGGTCGGGAGAGGACGCCATGCGAAATCCTCGGACGTGAGCGGGTCCAATACCTCTATGTTGAACTCGCGCGCCGAATCCTGTGAAGAACCACCTGAAGACGATAAGTCGCCGCTGCCGGACGAAGAAGATGCCACACATACGTCTTGTCCTTGAGCATGAGTACCCAGCGTAGGAACGAGCCGGGCATCATAGTCCTCATAAGAAAATAGAAGAGGAGGACTATCGACCTCCGCATGTGCCTTGGAACGAACGGCGGTCACCCGCAAAGTGACCGGTTCCGAAGGTGTCGAGAGTGTCGCCGAGTCACTCCCGCCGGTCCTCAGTTTCTCGATTTGCCTTTGCCTTTCGACGGGCAACCCATTATGTCGTGGAGATCGCTGTTACGCCACAAACAATAGCGGAATCTCGTGCGTGCTTTGTACGCCTGTTCGGAAAGACCGTAATGGGACCATGGGGCTGGAGCGGCTGTGCTGGGCTCGGGGCTAGATGCGGTGTTTGTCTTCCTCTTCATTGGCAGAGACGACCTCGCTAGTTTGGTCGTTTGGCGTTGCCGCCATGACCACGACCACTTTCGACCGATTGCCGCAAACTAACAGTGGACGTTCTTGGCCTGCTTGTTCGTGATAATGATCTGCGCGGCCTTGTTGAAGAGCTCCGCTGTTGTCGTCAGGGTGTCCTCGACATGAGTCAAGGCATTGCCCAACGTCGGACACGACCTCGAGATGTAGTGTTTGACGGCCTTGAAGCCCATTTGAAGGTCTGGGACGGATGTCAAGCGTTGGTACGCGGCAACCCAGTCAACGCTCGGCAGCGTGCCTTGTTCGAAGGTCATCAACTTGTCCATTGCCTTGATCTCCAGCGACTCTACTTGGAACCGCTTATGCCACACCGCCTTTAGATCATCCCAGCTGATCTTGGTGTGCAAGTCGGCAGCCACCACTCTGTACTTCAACAAGAGATTGTCCAACCATGCTTGGCACGCGCCCCCGACTGGGAGTATAAGTACGCGTGGTGCTTGTGTTTGCTGACGTGGTGGAGCTGCAACTTGAGCTTGAACTTGCGGAACCATAGAACCGGGTCCGTCTTCGTCGAGTCGCAGAAAATCTTCTGATCATCGAACCTTTGAGTCGTCTCGCGCGGTTCCGAGCTCGAGTGGGCGGCGGCAGTACAGATCCGATGCTCCAACTGTTGCGTTGAGGTTTGCTGTAACCGCACGCCGTCCTTGAGGGATTCAACGTCAATTTCCAATGCCTCGAGGCGATCGGAGGTGTTGGAGTGGCATCGGGGGTGGCGACGGGTCGTTGCTCCAGCTGCTATAGGCGGCTGCTGACTTGAGCTAATGCGTCGTCGAGGTTGTGGATATCCTCCTGCTGTGTAATGCATGTTGCCAGGAGGTCCGTGAGATGGGAGAGGAGTAGAGCGATCTTGTTTTCACTCTCTTCCATCTTGCCATTCTCGGCCTCGGCCCGCCAGTCCGCTGCCATTGTGAGCAAAGCTCGCTTTTCGCTGAATATCTTGTCGCGTCGTTGAATTCGTTCTTCAACGGCAGCCTTTGCAGCTGCCTCGTCGTGCTGGTGCTGCTGTTCGATTGCCAACAGACGTGTCTTCTCGGCGTCCTCTGCCTTCTTCTTTGCTGCCCCTGCTACTGCATCCGACCGTTGCTTGGCTTCGGTAATCAGAAGCAGCATCCGGGCCTGATAGGCCTCATCCGTTTCCCCGGACTTCTGGTCCATGCCGGCTGTTTGCGAGCGTGTGAGCATAGACCAGGGGGCCTGCTGACGTGGCACGTGGCCTGTTGACGTGGCCTGCTGATGTGGCCTGCTGACGTGGTCTGCTGACGTGGCAACTTACCACTGCCGCCGCAGGCGGTACCCGGAGACCGGTAGAGAAGATGAGACCAGAGGGGGCAACAACATAGGTTGGGAGGGTGGGTGGGAAATATCGCCAAGATAAGGAGCTACTAATCGAAAAGAAAAGTTTGAACTTTGCAAAAAAAATTTTGAGAAAAGAAAAAAATACTCGTTTGCAAGTTCAGTAGGTCTCCCAAATCCCCCTGAAGTGCGAAATTACCAATGAGAAAAAATTTCGAAGTTTCAGACTGCAAATGATTTTCCGATAAAGAATTCCAAAAATAAACTACTACAAAATATTCGGAACCACTCAGATGAGAGTACACGCAGTTTGGAGAATGATAACTGCAAGAGGGATTTCCCGTACCGTTTTCAAAAAAACGAATTTCGGAAAAAAATATTCCGGATTTCCAAATATCGGGAAATTGCAAAAGGAAATCAAAATTTTTGAAAAAAAAGATATGCCGGATTTCCAACAACGAAATTTTGATTTTTCAAAAGAAAAACGAAAATGGAAATTTCAGGTGTTGCGCTATTGCGATTTTCCACAACAGAAATAGTGGGAAAATAAAATCCAAGAAAAGAAAAAAAATTGATTTTCGGCAGTGAGG